AAATTTTGCTGCTAGATGTTCGAGAGGCGCTACATCTTTAAGATTGCAACTGCAAGTTACTGCAGTAGAAATGGGAGATCAAATTGAGGGAGCATCGCAAGTAAGAGCAAACGAAGATATCGTCGTGGAAACGCCAATTTAGATGGAATCATAGACCTACTAATTATAAGGTGAGATTCTACAGATTTACATAAAATGCTTTATTAACCCATTAGGGACGATAGGGTCGTTTACGACCCACCTTTTCTAGAGGCTATAGAGGACAAACCATAATACTAAACGCAACGAATCTTTCGCACATATGCTCAAAATTTATTGGGCTACATTATTGACTTTCCAGTCGAGACCCAATTAATTACTAACAACTAAATAATTAGGCTAATTAGTCGTCATAATTGGAAAATATTTCACTTTACTTCTTGCCTTGATTGGGACATTAAAACTTTATGTAGGCTTATTTTGTTGAGGACAAAATAGTTGCGGGCAACGATTTCCTTGAGACATATGAAAAGCCCGTGATAATCAGATGTTCACAAACAGAGCTAGACGCTGTTTACTAACTGCGGTCGCATACGACCCACTCGTCCGGGTCGCAAACGACCCATCACGGTTTTTCGGCTTTAACTTCTGAAACAAAGACGTTAGGATAAAATGAAATAAAAAGCATAAGTTAAAAACATATGGTCAATACTGTGTGACTCTAACTTTTTTAAAATAAAGAATTTGGGTCATTAACGACCCACTCGGCTCACTTGCTTATTACTACATATGTCCATGTAACTTCTTGAATTCAGCCTAAAGCATGACATCATAAGTTCAAAATCGCCTCTCAGCAAGTGATAATCATCATAAACTGCGAAAAATCGGTTAAATGGGTCATTAGCGACCCACTAAGACCACAAAATTGATTAATTAAATATAATGTTGTCAAACTTTTACAAATATTAGTATAAAAACATGTTATATCTTGGTCATTACTCCTGTACGTTGATTTAACTTTTAAAATCGATCAACTGGGTCAATAACGACCCACTCGGAAGTTGAACCACCTCATCAATTATTATCAGTATCATGCTGTTCCACCATCAAGAAAGACACTCGTAGGTCTTAATTCCACGCAAACCACGGGTGGCTGACTACTAGCCCTTCTGAGATCCAGGGCCAACTGAAGGGCCGTCATCACTCATCAAAGAGCTGCGAGAATAACACTACTGCATTTGCCTGGAGTTGCGTCCTGACATTAATACTATGGTGCGTGGAAATCTGTACCGAAAGGACCGTGGCCGTGCCGCAAAAGAAAAGGAATCGGCCCTCGTTCCTAACTTGCTAGGTAATAGCCATGCTGTTGTTGTTGCTTATTAGATTCTGTTACCTTTTTCGTCAATTTCGAATCTTGGTAAACGACCTGCTACAACCCACCGCTTGAGACCCAGGGTCCCACGGTGATCAGATCATGTCACTCAAGAAAAATCCCCTGAACGAAGTATACGAGATATCATGTAACCTTGGGTAAATACTGAAAGACGAGTGGTCAAATTGCATATTCTAATCCAACATGCCAATATGTTTTTTTCATTCCTAGAAAGTACGAGAATAACTAAACAACCGCTGCATTCAGATGGCTACATCTACAGCTCTGTGAAGAAGGACAAGGAAAAAGCCCCCCCCCCCCCCCCCCCCCATTTGGCTGGCGGTGCTGCAACCTGCAATCTCTCAGACAACTACCTCGTTTTGGGTAACAAACCCCGCAGCAACGAGGCAGCTTTCAAAACGAAAACAAGTATTACGTAATCGGCCGAGAGGGAGGGGAGTTTCCAACTGATTAAGCTTGTGTAATTTTGACATAATAGCTATGTGGTGGGGGGGGGGGGCGTAAAAATTGTCCAATAAGTGATAAAGGAATATATGAACGGCCCCTAAGAAGTAAAGAAAGGGAGCGGCGAAGAGAGTAGATGCAGCCATCGGAAATCTGAATCCAGCAGTTGTATAGTTCTTCTTGGACGTTCTAGGAATCGGGAAAAGATAGGCATGTTGTTTGCTGTCTCACGACATTACGGTCGTGTACTAACAGCTGATAAACTCACCTACCTATCAATCCAATTCTGCCCATTATTCGTCAGTCATTGGGTGACGTGATCTGCAGATTACCGTGAGACTCCAGATCTCAGAAGGGCTAGTAGTCAGCCACCCGTGGTTTGCGTGGAATTAAGACCTACGAGTGTCTTTCTTGATGGTAGAACAACATGATACTGATAATTAATGTCGTGGTTCAACTTCCGAGTGGGTCGTTATTGACCCAGTTGATCGATTTTAAAATTTAAATCAACGTACAGGAGTAATGACCAAGATATAACATGTTTTTATACTAATATTTGTAAAAGTTTGACAACATTATATTTAATTAATCAATTTTGTGGTCTTAGTGGGTCGCTAATGACCCATTTAACCGATTTTTCGCAGTTTATGATGATTATCACTTGCTGAGAGGCGATTTTGAACTTATGATGTCATGCTTTAGGCTGAATTCAAGAAGTTACATGGACATATGTAGTAATAAGCAAGTGAGCCGAGTGGGTCGTTAATGACCCAAATTCTTTATTTTAAAAAAGTTAGAGTCACACAGTATTGACCATATGTTTTTAACTTATGCTTTTTATTTCATTTTATCCTAACGTCTTTGTTTCAGAAGTTAAAGCCGAAAAACCGTGATGGGTCGTTTGCGACCCGGACGAGTGGGTCGTATGCGACCATAGCTGTATCTTTTAAAGTAAACGAGATACAGATTAGCTTTTTTGGATATCTCATTTTTGCTGTAAAGTGACCTAGTGTGTTAAACGGCATCAAAATCGGCAAACTTTAAAACTCGTCGTCCCTAATGGGTTAAAAACTGTTAACATCAAGATGAATCTTCAATGTACATCTTACATTGTAAAAAATAAATGTGTATGATATAGATGTAATTATGTAGTTATGTGTATAAAAATGATGGCTTAACAGTTAACACTATCATCGACAGTGTAAAACCTTTAATTGGTCATCAGTGATTGACATAAACATTTCCAATCTCAGGACTATTGCATGATAAAGTGGATGGACACTATTTGCTTTCAAGCCACAGCATGATCACAACAATGGCTTAAATGAAGATGTTGAAAATATTAGTGCCCAGGAACTGTAAAGCTGTGATAAATGACTGACTAGTCGTTAATTCAATATTTTTATGTTCCACGAATTTATAGTCGTTGGTTTTTTAAACAAACCATTTTCCGTTTGAGCAGCTATACTGTAAGTAGATGGAAATATTTTAAACGGGTCATATCCTGTCCAAACCCAGGATGCATAACGTGAAGAATTCGTTGTAACTTTGTATGAAAAGAATTGATATATTATGTGTACTCTGGTGGCACGTGACAGAAATTAACCGATCAAAATATCGAGTAACCATGGTAACGTATTTACTAATATACTATAAAACTTTAAAATATTATCGATTTTTCACTGTTATTTTTAGTACTACTCTTAGGGAGAAGAGTTGTTTTATATTTTTAGCAAATATCCTGGAAATTATTCTACTCAGTGTTACTTTCTACTTCTAGTTTTTGGTTTACTTAATTGTCTCACTTGTTTCGCCAGCCCATTTTTAAGTTACATAATACTTAAATAAAGACTTCAAATATAATAGGGAGCATTTTAACTAAAATAACGCAGTGTTTCTGATTATAATTATAAGGGACACCTAAAAATAAATACGGTATCATTTCGGCTCACATCATATTTGACTGCCAGGTCGGAGTATCCGTTTTAATTAAAGTGCCGCATCATGGTTACTGCACCATAGTCATTCAATTATTCAGAGTGCCACACTTTTTTCAATGTGCCGCATGTATGAGTACTTTTTAGAGTGCCGAAAGTTATGCGGTACTAGATAGTAGATAATCTGTGGTGTAATACTATAATGGTGCTCTCCCCGACTCGCAACCAGCAGGTTAATCTGGTTACCATGGTTACTCTGGTTACCATGGTTACTACACCATAGTAACAGAGTAGTCCAGGGTGTTTGTACAGTTTGCCAAAGCAAACATTTTTAGCATTTTTGTTGCTCTTACAAAAGTGTTTGCATTTTGGCCCTCCTGTACGCGAGAAAGTCTGGATTTCCTTTTGACTTTTAATTTCCTGTTCTCTGTCATACTTCGCCCTGGAAACGTAACAGTTAAGATACTATACAGGCTACCGGACAACTGAACCCAATTTGAGAGAACTATAGCGTTCTCATTAGTAATACACTCAGTCGCTTGAGCTACGCATATTTACCTTCGTGAGACAAGCACGTAAATTAAACAACTTTTCCTTATTTTGACCGAACGATATCCTTTCCATCGTTTAATAAGCTAGACCATCGGCCTCCATCTATTTCTCTCTCTCTCTCTCTCTCTCTCTCTCTCTCTCTCTCTCTCTCTCTCTCTCTCTCTCTCTCTCTCTCTCTCTCTCTCTCTCTCTCTCTCTCTCTCTCTCTCTCTCTCTCTCTCTCTCTCTCTCTCTCTCTCTCTCTCTCTCTCTCTCTCTCTCTCTCTCTCTCTCTCTCTCTCTCTCTCTCTCTCTCTCTCTCTCTCTCTCTCTCTCTCTCTCTCTCTCTCTCTCTCTCTCTCTCTCTCTATTCCTTCTCTCAAGCTGCGCACATGCTAGCTCCAGAGTGTATAGGAGTTTATGTTACAGTGTAGAGGAGTTTATCTTACAGTGAAATACAGAGACTGACCTCAGTCCCATTTCCTGGTTTAGTTTAGCTGTCTCTAAATGTACTGTGATTTACTGTTCTATTTGCTGTTCTATTTTCGTGATTATATATCGCTTGTTAAGGTGCTATTTATGCCGTTATCTTTAAATTCTGATTATTTTTAGACATTAGGTATTTATGTTTTAGTACGGATTTTGTTGTCTTACGTTCCCCATTCGTTCAGGAACTATTTATACTTGTAGTTAAAATAAACTTTTGAAACTATCTTAGCTTTCCAAAGGCTACCCACAAATGAAGTCTCGTGCTTGAATAGTATAGAAAATGAAGCTACAGTTTGCGTGAGTAAAAAACTCAAAATATCTCAGAACAGTAAACTAAAATAAGACACAGTGTTTTTCCAGTAAATTGAGGAATGAAGAACTAACAATGAGATAAATCGATTATCTAAGTTTCGATTGTTTTGCCTTTTAATTCAGTGTCTATCGAAGAAACTGAAAAAAGAGCAATAACAAACTTTCCGGATTGCAACATTGCCATGTTCCGAAAATAATCGCCGCGCTAACAAAACATGCGCCATTCTTTAAAGTATTCGCCATGTTGTGATTTATTTGCAATGCTGCGCGCAAATGATGCAAATATTTCATAAGGAGGCAATAAATCAGCTACTTTAAAGCTATAAAAACAAGTTACTCTGGTTACCATGGTTACATGTAAGTATAACCAGTTATCTCTCTCAGACTTGTAGCAGTGTTGGTGGTTCAGACTGCAAGTGTTGATGTCTTCCATCTGCTCGCCCAGCCTGCCAGGTCTGTACACCTTTACACACAGGGGGACTAAAGTGCTAAGAAACTGCTGCTAACTGCTGCTAACTGCTGCTAACTGCTGCTAACTGCTGCTAACTGCTGCTTATAACTGCTGCTAACTGCTGTTAACTGCAGCAGTTAGCAGCAGTTTCTTTGCACTATAATAGTCCCCTGTGTTATACAGAGATAATTTGATTTTAGTGTGAGGTTCGATATTTATATGTCCAATCGAATACTTCATGATCATTAACCCATTATGCTTTAAAACGATTATGATCGACTTCTGGTTGATTTCATTACAGTGTAATGATATGATTGAAACGTTACAGCGTGACTGTGGAGGTTGGAAAACCGTTCAACCTAACATGTGTTGCCCCAAACGGAGAGAACACGTTCCAGTGGTTCCATGAGGAGTCCATACCTAATGGGTTAGTTATACTACTAGTTACCATAATTACACTAATACTAGTTCCAGTGGTTCCATGAGGTGTCCATACCTAATGGGTTAGTAATTAGTCCATACCTAATGGGTTAGTAATACTACTAGTTACCATAGTAACACTACTAGTTACTAATGCTCTAATGGGTTAGTTATACTAAGAATACTAGAATTTGAGGCGTCCATACCTATTATTATTACCTAATGGGTTAGTTATTTATTACCTAATGGGTTAGTTATACTGTATATATATATATAATAACATCTATAATGGGTTAGTTATACTATATATATACTACTACTACTATGTCGGAGCTAAGTCCGATCTACGCCAGAAAACCCCCTCCATATATCCCTGTCCCGCATCAGGGTTCGCAGTTCCTCTTTAGAGTTTGTCCCAACTTCCTTCAGTAACATAGTTATACTAAGAATACTAGAATTTGAGGATTCCCTAATGCTCTAATGGGTTAGTTATACTAAGAATACTAGAATTTGAGGATTCCCTAATGCTCTAATGGGTTAGTAATACTAAGAATACTAGAATTTGAGGATTCCCTGATGCTCTAATGGGTTAGTTATACTAAGATTACTAAAATTTGGTACAACACGTCTCTAACACGTCTCCAACACATCTCTAAAACGTCTCTAACACGTCTCTAAAACGTCTCTAACACGTCTCTAACACGTCTCTAACACGTCTCTAACACGTCTCTAACACGTCTCTAATACGTCTCTAACACGTCTCTAACACGTCTCTAACACGTTTCTAACACGTCTCTAACACGTCTCTAACACGTCTCTAACACGTCTCTAACACGTCTCTAACACGTCTCTAACACGTCTCTAACACGTCTCTAACACGTCTCTAACACGTCTCTAACACGTCTCTAACACGTCTCTAACACGTCTCTAACACGTCTCTAACACGTCTCTAACACGTCTCTAACACGTCTCTAACACGTCTCTAACACGTCTCTAACACGTCTCTAAAACGTCTCTAACACGTCTCTAACACGTCTCTAACACGTCTCTAACACGTCTCTGACACGTCTCTAACACGTTTCTAACACGTCTCTAACACGTTTCTAACACGTCTCTAACACAGGGTGATGGCTACCCCCTACACTGGAGCTGGTAACGGTTTATCAGCTGTTCTCTCAATTCCAGCAGCTGAACAAGCTGACGGGGGTTTTTATCAGTGCAGAGTTACGTCCGGAGATAACATCATTTACAGTGATGTAGCCACTGTCTCTCTTCACTGTTAGTTGCATAGTGTTTACTTCTTTATATTAAGTCACTGTGTTTAACCTTCTTCTATTTCCCATATTACATTTATTTATTTATTAATTATATTAATAATTATGTAATTAATTATATATTTATTAATATAAATAATTATGAATATTCCCGTAGATTTCTCAACGATAACAGCTCAAGTGAAAGCAGTGTCAGTAAACTCAGCAGCAGGAGCTGTCAGGACCACACTACCCTGTAATATTCCGTCTAGTGTCAGTTCTCCTGCAGCCAAAGTACATTGGTACAAAGGTAGGTCTATAGTTAGCATTTCCACTGGATATTGTTTAGGATTATATTACCTATTCTTTAAGACTTTCTTTGAAGATTCTTCCTTTGAGATTTTCAGGGTTGTTAACGATAATTTTCTTCATAACAATAAAAATCACTATAATAACATACTAATTAAACTAATTACAACACTACAAATTTATTACATTTATTGAGTATTATATAACGCGATGGAAATATTTTGAGCGGGTGATATCCTGTCCAAACCCAGGATACATGTAACATGAAGACTTTGTTGTAACTTTGTATGAAAAGCATTAATACTTTATAACTATTTTTCAGACAACATATTGGTGGAGAAGATAAACGCGTTTGTTGTTCACGCCAACACCTTACTCAAAGTGGAATCTCTTCCCAGCATTTCCATCACTGACAACTCACTGGTTTGTCCTCAACACACGTATCTACTTTATAATGCTACTAGCAATATTCTGATCTTACAGCAACATCGATGGTAGTTGTGAATATAACCTTTCCTGGGGACCCCCAATATGTAGATATTATGCTTAGTTTGCATAATACGTAGATATTATGCAAGCTCGCATAATATTTAGATATTATGCTTAGTTTGAAAACAGCCTTGTAACTTAAAATGACCCATTAAGTACTAAGCAATATCTAATAACAGCCTTGTAAAGTTGTAACTTAAAATGACCCATTGTAACTTAAAATGACCCATTAAGTGCTTAGCAATATCTAATAAGCACTCTACAAGGTCCTGTTCAACATAAAGAAGGAAATGGCCGGACAGTACAGGTGTGAGGCTGAGGTGACTAGTGATCACATATCTGTGAAGAAACAAACTGTGATGACCTACAATCTCACTGTCTCTAAAGGTAACATGTTTATCATAGTAAAATAATAGTGAAATAATAGTGAAATAATAGTGAAATAATAGTGAAATAATAGTGAAATAATAGTGAAATAATAGTGAAATAATTACATTTTGTTTACACATCTTGTATGGAATATTCTAATTTACCCCGTTATCCCTAACTTGGGTATTTCTTCAGAGTTCGGAGATGTTAACTACAGTTCCACCACCCTGCTTGTTAACGGAGGTTCAGTAACAGCTGGAGAGACTGTTACACTGTGTTGCGGTACTGTCGGGTATCTTAACGGTAAGTGTACAGTGGGGCACTGTGTTGTGGTACTGTCGGGTATCTTAACGGTAAGTGTACAGTGGCCGGGCACTGTTTCCAAATCAGCCAAAAAGAAACAGAATCTTAAATCAGGGAAAAATTAAAGTTACAACTTGTGGGTATGATTAATTTTTTAACCTCAAACAAGTCAATCATAATACACTAAAAACTAAACAGAATTAATATAATTATTATTAGGACCTACTTCTCACTAACTAATCATATATTAAGACAATAAAACTATCGGACTACGATGTATGGGGACTTGCCACCCCATGGAAACATTCAAATATATTCACTCTGTTATATCGTTTCCTCAAACTATTTGTTATATGTGTTGATAGTATTAAAACTGCTTAGTACTTATCACGGTTCTTTTGCGATAGTCAAAACGCGACAACTAGCGCTGGATGGCGACAACTAGCGCTATCCAGCGCTAGTTGTCGCCATCCAGCGCTAGTTGTCGCTATCCAGCGCTGGATAACGCTGGCCAGCGCAAAATATATATGTTCGATAATTGTCGCTATCCAGCGCTAGTTGTCGCCATCCAGCGCTAGTTGTCGCCATCCAGCGCTAGTTTTCGCCATCCAGCGCTAGTTGTCGCTGGCTATGCGACACTGTCGCACGCGATAGTTTGCGATGGCCAGCGCAACTGGCCATCGCAGAAAACAGTTCGATAACTAGCGCTGGATAGCGACAACTAGCGCTGGCCAGCGCTGGCCAGCGCTAAGCGATAGCCAGCGCTGGCCATCGATATCCAGCGCAAATTTTTTGCGCTATTACTCGTCAGCTAGCGCTGGCCAGCGCTAGTTGTCGCTATCCAGCGCTAACCAGCGCTAACCAGCGCTAACCAGCGCTAACCAGCGCTAACCAGCGCTAACCAGCGCTAACCAGCGCTAGCCAGCGCTAGCCAGCGCTGGCCAGCGCTAGCTGACGAGTAATATCGCAACTATATTGCGCTGGCTGACAAGTAATACTAATATCGAGCGTGCTAAATCACTCTACAGTCGATCTTCGAGATTGTTCTAAAAGGGCCCCCGATGGTTGTAACCAACTTCAATCGATGTATTTTCGGACGCTAATTCCGAATCAACCCCCATGGGCCCATGACATAGGGTTAAAATGCTCTCCTGACGAGATATTGGCGAAAAACTGTACATGTATCGATCACGTGATATGACCGTATAAGGAAGTTAGTTTAATTTCTCGTTATTGTTAGGGTTTCAGCAAATGTTTTTGTTAAGGATTGGGTTAGGGTTAGGGTTGAAATCAGATTAGAGGGTTAGGGTTTCGAAAAGTCGTTCAGAACCAGCTAGAGTCAGAGAATGGGTTAAAAAAGTCACGTGACAGTCGAGTGTAAAGTGATTAATCATCATCCAAGTAATATCGCAAGTATATGATTTTGATACATTGCGCTGGCTAGCGCTGGCTACCGCTGGCTAGCGCTGGCTAACGCTGACTAGCGCTGGATAGCGACAACTAGCGCTGGCTAGCGCTGGATAGCGACAACTAGCGCTGGCTAGCGCTGGATAGCGACAACTAGCGCTGGATAGCGACAACTAGCGCTGGCTAGCGCTGGCCAGCGCTGGCCAGCGCTAGCTGACGAGTAATAGCGCAAAAATTTTGCGCTGGATATCGATGGCCAGCGCTGGCCAGCGCTGGCTATCGCTTAGCGCTGGCCAGCGCTAGTTGTCGCTATCCAGCGCTAGTTGTCGCTATCCAGCGCTAGTTATCGAACTGTTTTCTGCGATGGCCAGTTGCGCTGGCCATCGCAAACTATCGCGTGCGACAGTGTCGCATAGCCAGCGACAACTAGCGCTGGATAGCGACAACTAGCGCTGGATGGCGACAACTAGCGCTGGATGGCGACAACTAGCGCTGGATAGCGACAATTATCGAACATATATATTTTGCGCTGGCCAGCGTTATCCAGCGCTGGATAGCGACAACTAGCGCTGGATGGCGACAACTAGCGCTGGATAGCGCTAGTTGTCGCCATCCAGCGCTAGTTGTCGCGTTTTGACTATCGCAAAAGAACCGCAATGGGGTGGCATGTGCCTCAATAAAAATATTACAAACATTTATCACAATGCTGGCAAGCATAACCGTTGCCCTTATATTCACAACACTATGTACCCCCTATACTATTATATCCCCTTTATTGTTTTCCAGGCATTAAGACTCATCGAAAGTAGTTCAACAGGTATATTTAAGTTCAAAACATTCTAATTCAATGTTAAAGATGACAGGAATAAGAAATAGTTATGTGGAGGTTTTTAAGAAATTTGCGCAAAATACGCGCCAGCATGTTATACGAAATTAGGTAAAAAACCCAAAATCGCCATATTCAGGTGCCTTAAAAACCATGTTAAAATTGGGTTAGAGATCTGAAACTTTGCAGAGCGTCTAGACCTTGTCCAAATCGACTGTAAAAAAAATTTCATGTTGCAGGAGTATCGGGAAGTGGGTTTTCTGGAACCCCTGTTTTACAACAGATTGTCGTGAAGCTATATATGTATATATATATGTATATATGTATAGACGCTTTTGCAGTAAATTGTAGCCTACATTTAAGTGTCCGTAGATTCAAAAGTATAAAAGATACAGTCATTTCGAACCACAGGTTTTAAAGATAATTGTTTATACTTTAGTTTACATTATATCGAAAAATAATTTATCGTCATCATCATCACTTGATGACGTCATCAATTTAAGTGTTTTTAAAACTTGATTTTTGACAAAATAACAACTTTTCAAATCGATTTTAAAGCATTAAGGAGTAATTTTATTCAAAATCTGAGGACATTTTCATCCTAGATAATTGTTCAAGCATTCTGAAAATCTACCGGAAAGTTTTCCTACCTTGCTCCTTCATAAAGATATTCGCTATTGAAGTTTGTGCTTTTTTGAAGAATAATTTTATAAAAACACAAAAGTTGTGAATTAGTATTCTCTGGTGTTGGGCCATCCCTTGGGTTGTGGAGCTCAATTTTGCTTCCTAAAGGTCTAAATTGTGTTATAGGCTAGTTTTAAAGTTGAAAATCGAAAAGTTGCACACGTGGGGACACGCCCAAATTCATTTAAAATAGCTAAAATCACTAAAAATTGTTATTTTCACGATTTTTACCAACTTTGGAGTCCCGTTGTGATCCAAGTTCTTTTTGAAATCTTCTGAAACTTTTCATGCTTATCAAACTATATATTAAATAACACTATGCAAAAATTTATGGTGATTCAATATTTTATGCGCACGCAACGTCCGCTCAAAGTTTGCACGTGCGAAAGGTGAGAATTTTGCTCATTCGTGATTTCGAATATATTCTGCTTTCCCACGATATTAAAATGGCATTATATATGAATTTAATGCCAACTTGAATGAGTAAAAAGTGCTATATTCAGTCTGTTATTGACAGATATGCCTACCTAAACACAAGGAAACGTTTTCAAAGGTAAAATTTCGAAATCGTTGAAATTACCTCCTTATTAAGTTTCGACTGTGTAAATTATCCTGACATTATAATCAAAAAGAGATGATATTTGACCAAAACCCATAATCATGGGTAGAGTGAACCGCTGCCAGTGTCTCTCTTTTCCAAACAAAAGAAAATGATATTAATTTGAGGAACCGTCCGCAAATGCAAATTGATACCGAGAATGAAATCGGTCGCTCGCTTTTCCCATTCATTCACGGCTTACGTATTGTAATAAAGCTTATTGAATGGGAAAAGCGAGCGACCGATTTCATTCTCGGTATCAATTTGCATTTGCGGACGGTTCCTCAAATTAATGTCATTTTCTTTTGTTTGGAAAAGAGAGACACTGGCAGCGGTTCACTCTACCCATGATTATGGGTTTTGGTCAAATTATTATATCAATTTATCATTAAATATTTCAACAATATCAATAACTTATGGTTGATTCTTCACACTTAGAAAAATATATTTAAAAAATTTACTCTGCACTAAAGAATAAATAATTTATATTATGTAAATCAACTATATTATCTCCCCATCTTCTCATAGTCATTTTATCAAAGCGGTAGAAATCCAAGTATTTTTTAATACGCGGTGCGCAAGGAATTCCGTTGAAAAAAAAATGAAAAAAAAGAAAGTATGTTTGCAGGTGAGGTACCCACCTACACATGGTTCACATCCAGTGAAGGAGGAGGATCAGTGCAAATAACAACAGGGTTAAGTGACTTTGGGAGGACTCTAGCGGTCACCACGACCAGCTCTCAATCTTACTCTTGTAGATCCTGCTTGGGTGATTCCTGTCAGAGCAGCGCTGTTACTGCTAGTGTTACACCAGGTAAACCGTTACTGCTGGTGTTACACCAGGTAAACCGTTACTGCTAGTGTTACACCAGGTAAACCGCTACTGCTAGTGTTACACCAGGTAAACCGTTACTGCTAGTGTTACACCAGGTGTTTGTTTGTTTGGGGCTGGCTTTTACACCAGTCAATGTTTACTCAAAATATATAATAATTGTAATAATCAATATTAATCCCCGAAGGGCACGCAAATTACATGCCATGAAACTCATAGTTATTTCGTCTAGATTTTATCAGTTGATTCTGATGACCCTGATCTGCAAACACATTTAAAAGCTTAAACGTTTGTGGACACGTTCATTGAAGTTTGAGGAAATTGGTAAATTTCTAAAACAGCGTTTTTGACGATAGTGGTTTAATTTTAACAATTATTAATCTAGCGTGTTCATAAGTTCTGAACATTAGCCACGTGACCCATACTCCCATATGCACTGCTCAAAAATAAAATGTATTGCTTTTAGGCACTATTATGTAAAAAATGTCACATTTTTGTGACATTGTTTACCATAGCTGCCCAATTAGCATTTTTTGGTCTAAAATATAGTAGATTAGGTCAATCTAACAATTATGATACAATGTAGGCCTAAAGGGCAGTGATCGAACGGCTTTAAGGCAACATTTCGTAAACTTTGTCACACTCAGAATACGGGACCTCTTTTCTACTGTGAGGTGTCCTCAAAACCCTTTCAACTCATTATTTGATAGTTCTTCTGCCAATCATAGCCCTAAAATATGTTGTTTTGGAAAATTAACAAATACATGCACTTGGCTATTGGGAAATGATGTAAATTCTGTCACATTATATGGAATTTGAAATTCTGGGTGAATTTCCGAAATCATTTATATCTGATTTTGGTTTGGAAGGCGGGAAAACTCTATATGAGGACGATACACGGATACAGTTGATTGAAGTATAGGGCAGTTGATGTAAACATCGTCACAAAATGATACGAAATCGTAAATGGACACGTTCATGTTGAAGTTTAAGGATATTGGTAAACCAAAAAAAAAATAACGTGTTCAGAAGTTCTGGACATTAGCCACGTGACCCATACTTCCATATACACGGCTCAGAAATAAAATTTATTGTTTTTAGGCACTATAATGTAAAAAATGTCACATTTTTGTGACTGTGTTAACCATAGCTGCCCAATTAGCATTTTTTTGGTTTAAAATATAGTAGATTAGGTCATTCTAACAATTGTGATACAACATTTGGCTAAAGGGCAGGGATCGAACGGTTTTAAGGCAATATTTCGTAAACTTTGTCACACTCAGAATACGATACCTCTTTTCTACTGTGAGGTGTCCTCAAAACCCTTTCAACACATTATTTGATGGTTCTTCTACCAATCATAGCCCTAAAATATGTTGTTTTGAAAAGTTAGCAAATACATGCACTTATTGGGAAATGATGTAAATTCTGTCACATTAGGGTAAAGCACATAATTTTGTCATTTTTTGGCAATTTTCCGACTGCCTGATATAAACCATGGGTTTTAACCTCGTCTGAAATTCCGATTTAGATGAAACCTCCACCATGTTATAGTAGACAGTCTAGGCAAGTTCTATCACAAAAATGATCGAAATTGCTGGGGTTGAAGATGTTCAAAAAAATTATTTTGAAAAAATGACAAAATTAGGTGACTTTACTTAATTTTGTCGCCCCGAACCTAATTTTGTCACTTGAAGATTGTGCAAAAAGTAACCGTTTCTCGGTATTTTAGACTACCTGGATGCATCATTCGAGCGCTTTTTTACCAACATTGACCTCAAAAATCCCAAAGATATGATGTTTTCATAGTTTTGTAGCTTGATGAAAAGATGACACTTTTTGGGTATATAATCTTAGAAAATAGCCCCCAAATGCCCCTGAAACCACTGGTATCTTGAAAAACAATTGGTTCTAGGTCTAGGTTGAAATTTTCATGTCTGTAGATAGATCACTTGCTTAGTAATTTCATCAATTATTTTTTTAGTCATTTTAGATTGAAAAAATCAGATTATCCACCTCGGCGAAAATATGCTATTATAAGTGTTATGCTATTATAAGTGCCTTATACATATCCTATGGGCAAAAAAACTTCAGAATAGTTGTATAAGGCCATTTTCAACACAATCTGTGATTTACAAGAAATTTGAGAAAGGTCGATTTTTTTGACAAAATTAGGTACTTTTGGCAAAATCGAACCTAATTTTGTCACCCTCTGTAACTTAAACAATAATTGCGCTAGAGACTTGAAAATTTGTACGTATACTTCTGCTGTAGAAGATATTTGAAATATGCAATGGCATGAAGCTAGCTCAATTACTTTTGAAATAGCAATAAATCAAAATTTTGAAAATTCCTTAAGAAAACCTTAAGGATCTTATTTATTTTTCGGGTTAACAGTTTCGCCTTCATTTTTGACACAGATGCAAAAGAGCTAAAAACTTAAACTTTGTAGGAGCAGTTTCAGCAAAGTCTAAGCTTTCTTTTTATACACAAACCTTTTCTTTCAAGCTGAAATTCCGAGCCGAGGCAGTTTTTCAGAGCAAAATGACAAAATTAGGTACCCTGACAAAATTACGTGCCTTACCCTATATGGAATTTAAAATTTTGGGTAAATTGCCGAAATCATTTATATCTGATTTTGGTTTGGAAGGCGGGAAAACTGTATATAAGGACGATGCACGGATAGAACTGATTCAAGTATAGGGCAGTTGATGTAAAAATTGTCACAATAATAATAAGGGCAGTTGATATGAAAGAAAATCTATCTAACTAATGCAATGGCTGATGAGACGAAATTTACATTTTTTTTGAACTTATTTTGAAGAAACATGCCTCGATTAGAATTCAATATTCTTCCAGGAATTATTAGTAGGTTATTATTCAGCAAATCAGAACTCAAGTTTAACAATTCTGAGTTTAATTTTACTAAGTTACCGAAATGTGACGAAATTCACTTTTCCTGCCCCAACAGTATAATTTCAATGTGATGAAAAATGGGCATGGGTTTCTATATTTCCTTATCTCTGAATTAATCATTTCAAACTATAATTAGGACTGTTGATGTGAAAGAAAGTGTATCTAAATTTTACAATGACGTATGTGACGAAATTTACATTTCTTGACCCTATTTTGAAGAACCATACCCCGATTAGAATTCAATATTCTTCCAGGAATTATTGGTAGGTTATTTTTCAGCAAATCAGAACTCAAGTTTAACAATGCTGAGTTTGATATCACTAATTTACCGAAATGTGACGAAATTTACTTTTCCTGCCCCAACAGTATAATTTCAATGTGATGAAAAATGGGCATGGGTTTCTATATTTCCTGTATAAATCCATTCCAACTATAATAAGGGCAGTTGATATGAAAGAAAATCTATCTAACTAATGCAATGGCTGATGTGACGAAATTTACATTTCTTGCCCCTATTTTGAAGAATCATACCTCAATTAGTATATAATGTTACTTTATCACCATCACTATGTCGATAAATTAGTTATTTTGCCAACACGGAGCAAATAAAGTTATTATTTTTTTTTGTGACGAAATTTACAAATTTTTACCCTGTTCAGGTGTTGAAATTTATCCAATGTTAACATATCACATTATCACTGCCATATAATAATTTATATGACCGGCGTATGGTTGAAATATTGTTAATTGACCCATAGTACGTAATATAGGGTGTTTAAGTTGGTATACTAATATTTACTCAATTTCACACATGTTGAGATATCATACAAATTTATGTGACTAAATTTACCTTTTTCTGCCTTCTGTATTTGTATTTGCCTATAACAATGAAATATGTGAACAATTCCAAACACATTCAGCTCACAAAATAATGCTAGACTGTTCGGCATTTCTTGTCAGGATGTCATAAACATCCCTCATATAAATTTCTTAAATGTGTGACAGAGTTTACATGGAGCTACCATTTAAGGAAAAAAGTCGCTAAATATGTAGATAATAGTCATATACAGCTATTCTATGAATTGGAAATTCGAAAATTTGGTCAAACACGGCAACAAGGGGTCCATATAAACTCCGTCACGTTTTTATAGTGTGACAAAGTTTACAACTCACTGCCGGGCGCATTTAATCGATATCTTATCGTCTGATATAGATATCGTTATGCGACAAAGTTTATCTAGAGGATGAAACGATTATCTTAGGGTAAGAGGGTTTATATAGTTTCATAGTGTGACACATTTTACATCATCGTGCCGTTCAGTAGGGTCACTAATATTTACCAATATCCTCAAACTTCAATGAACGTGTCCTTATATAAAATTCTTTACTTGATAATACTGTCGTAGGTGTTTTATCAGTATAGGTTTGCGCTAGTTGGCAGTGAAATATGGAATGTGCTGTCAGGATGGCACGATAAGTGATTTAGATGGGACACTGATATAATAGTGAAAGTTGAGCTGCATATAATAGGTTGCTATTAAGTGTCGGCTGTTCTAACGGTGTGCTAACTATTCTCGGTAGTTGATTTGTTGAGTGCCTGATCTTGCTGATTTACGTAGCCCGGGTAAATTATGTAACAGAAAAGTTGGCCATTCTTCATCGTTTCCTGTGCTTTGTAGTTCTATCATTACACGCTTTGCTGATTTCTTATAAATGCTTATTGAGAAAATGCTAGATGGGCAAGTTATGCGATTAATGTTGTGCTCGGTAATAGCTAATATAGGACCTTTATACAGAACACTAGCGCGTAGATCTGGTTGAGAGTACGTTGTTAGCCAGTCGATATTGTCGTCATAAGATGTGCCATACTTTGGTAAATCGGGAGGAAATAAGTCTTTTATTGACGACGGCAGAAGGCCAGGCATGTAATTTATCTTGTGCGTAAACCGTTACTGCTAGTGTTACACCAGGTAAACCGTTACTGCTAGTGTTACACCAGGTAAACCGTTACTGCTAGTGTTACACCAGATAAACCGTTACTGCTAGTGTTACACCAGGTAAACCGTTACTGTTAGTGCTACACCAGGTAAACCGTTACTGCTAGTGTTACACCAGGTAAACCGTTACTGCTAGTGTTACACCAGGTAAACCGTTACTGCTAGTGTTACACCAGGTAAACCGTTACTCAATAGACCACTATTTAATATTACATAACAAACCGGCTAAAATAATATAATACGGGAAAGTGAAAATGCAATTAACTAGAAAACATTCAAATGTAAAAATGAAATAACGCTGAAATGGTAACCATGGTAACGAAATGTCCCTCTCAGCTGCTACTAAGATAAAGTTCACTGCTGTTCCAGCAGACTACTACCTTCACGAGGATGGAGTGACACAGGGAGCTATATCTCTTACTTGCACTACTAATCTAGGAGAGGTTTGTAGTAAAACATCAAATAAAACAGGCGGGAGACACTGCACGTGATGCCCTTATAAGGAGACATGATATATCAAACTTTAGTTTTGAGATGACGTAACTTTAGCTTTTTTTGGTTCCTTCTAATTTCTTCGACCTTTTAGTTAAAGAAAATGTATTGTTATTTATGATTGAGACATTAACCCAAGATTTGGTTACAGGGTAACTGGATCAAGAATGGTGTTTCTGTCTCATTCCCTATAGACCAGCCCAACCCAGCTAATTCTGGAATATACCAGTGTTATGTGAAAAACAGTGACTCCTGGCTCATGAAGTCTACTCAAGTCCTCGTTACTGGTGCGTTATAGGGACACTTAGCAGTTACACTTAGTTGAGTGTGATGATAGTGGAAGTGAAATGTAGAAATTTTAGCGCTAGATAACATCAAGCGCTAATAACACAACAGTACATTAAAAAATAAATACATTTCAGAAAAGTTGTCAGTGACAAATAACACAACAGTACATTAAAAGATAAATACATTTCAGAAAAGTTGTCAGTGTCAGTGACAAATAACACAACAGTACATTAAAAGATAAATACATTTCAGAAAAGTTGTCAGTGTCAGTGACAAATAACACAACAGTACATTAAAAGATAAATACATTTCAGAAAAGTTGTCAGTGTCAGTGACAAATAACACAACAGTACATTAAAAGATAAATACATTTCAGAAAAGTTGTCAGTGTCAGTGACAAATAACACAACAGTACTTTAAAAGATAAATACATTTCAGAAAAGTTGTCAGTGTCAGCGACGGCCCCAAGTGAGCTGAACACTACTACTAAAGGATCTGTTTCTTGTACAGTGGGTGGCTACCCAGCTCCTGAGGTAACCATCTTCAAAACAGATCTCAACAAGGACGACACAGTGAGTACATTATAAGCTTGGTGACACGTTTTTGCTAGTGTTGGTGACACGTTTTTGCTAGTGTTGGGGACACGTTTTTGCTAGTGTTGGGACACGTTTTTACTAGTAGTTAGGGCACGTTTCTTGCTAGTACTTGGGGACAAAAAACGTGTCCCCAACTACTTTGGGGCACGTTTTTGCTAGTGTTGGGGACACGTTCTTGCTAGTGTTGGGGACACGTTTTTGCTAGTAGTTGGGGCACGCTTCTTGCTAGTACTTGGGGCACGTTTTTTCTAGTACTTGGGGCACGTTTTTGCTAGTGTTGGGGACACGTTTTTGCTAGTAATTGGCGACAAAAAACGTGTCCCCAACTACTTTGGGGCACGTTTTTGCTAGTGTTGGGGACACGTTTTTGCTAGTATTTGGGAGCAAGTTTTTGCTAGTATTTGGGAGCACGTTTATGCTAGTAGTTGGGGCACGTTTTTGCTATTAGTTGGGGACGGATTTTTGCTAGTATTTGGGATCAAGTTTTTGCTAGTAGTTGGGCACGTTTTTTAGCAGTTGGGGCATGTTTTTGCTAGTACTTGGGGGCACGTTTTAGTTGGCGACGTTACTTTATGGCTATCTTTGCGACATGATATGGATCAGATTAGAGTTATCATAAAGAGGTTGGAAAATAGATTTGCCTTCACTCAAAATACCATGATTTCCTGTAATGTAGTTTAATTATATCACTTTACTTTAATTATAAACCTCCCAGAACATGGTAGCGTGTGCAGTAGACAAGGCAGATAAAACAAATTGTATTGAACGCAGTGGAAACTCTTACTCGGTTGAAATTGATCACAGTGATCTTGAGTCGTCGGGTAAGGGAGTGTTTTTTATTTGAAAATTCAATTAATTATTATATATATAAATCGAGCGTTATATTTCAACCATGCAAAATTACGATGACATATTTTGATATACTAATTGATAAATGGTACTGCAATATAAGTTGCTTAATGTTTGGCCGGATGACAACTAACAAGAAATCAAACATATCATAAATAATTATAAATATTTTGCTCATTACAATTCTGTAACAACTGAGAACAAAAAAAACAGTATGTTGAGAACTTTCCAATACTTTTATAAATGATAATTAAAAACATGACGTTATAAAGCAATGAAATGGGTTATAATATAGTTTTTATGTTCCTCGCAGTAACTCTATTATTACACCACACCAGGGACATACACGTGTAAAGTTCACCACAAGTACAGGCTATCAGATGGGTCAGCTGTTGAGAAAGCTGACGAGAAGTCTGCTCCTGTTGCTATAGGTTTGATAAAACGGAGCTCTTATAGATGCTACTTGAACTAACATCATTCAAGTCTGTTATAGGGTAGCACTTATAAATGCCAATTATTGAAACCTCGAAGAATACAATAGAATGTTGAAACAATTTGGATGGTAAAATATTAGTGTACTTATATGGCAATACTCAATGCCCAATTATGTACGCATTGAAATACATATTCAGCAAAGTTTCCTCCTTTAGTTTACTACTTCTCCTTCTTTAGTGTTCCCAGTGGATGTGTACTCCTTAACCACCACTCCTTCTTTAGTGTCCCCAGTGGATGTGTACTCCTTAACCACCACTCCTTCTTTAGTGTCCCCAGTGGATGTGTACTCCTTAACCACCACTCCTTCTTTAGTGTCCCCAGTGGATGTGTACTCCTTAACCACCACTCCTTCTTTAGTGTCCCCAGTGGATGTGTACTCCTTAACCACCACTCCTTCTTTAGTGTTCCCAGTGGATGTGTACTCCTTAACCACCACTCCTTCTTTAGTGTCCCCAGTGGATGTGTACTCCTTAACCACCACTCCTTCTTTAGTGTTCCCAGTGGATGTGTACTCCTTAACCACCACTCCTTCTTTAGTGTCCCCAGTGGATGTGTACTCCTTAACCACCACTCCTTCTTTAGTGTCCCCAGTGGATGTGTACTCCTTAACCACCACTCCTTCTTTAGTCTCCCCAGTAGATGTGTACTCCTTAACCACCACTCCTTCTTTAGTGTCCCCAGTGGATGTATACTCCTTAACCACCACTCCTTCTTTAGTGTCCCCAGTGGATGTGTACTCCTTAACCACCACTCCTTCTTTAGTGTCCCCAGTAGATGTGTACTCCTTAACCACCACTCCTTCTTTAGTGTCCCCAGTGGATGTGTACTCCTTAACCACCACTCCTTCTTTAGTGTCCCCAGTGGATGTGTACTCCTTAACCACCACTCCTTCTTTAGTGTCCCCAGTGGATGTGTACTCCTTAACCACCACTCCTTCTTTAGTGTCCCCAGTGGATGTGTACTCCTTAACCACCACTCCTTCTTTAGTGTCCCCAGTGGATGTGTACTCCTTAACCACCACTCCTTCTTTAGTGTTCCCAGTGGATGTGTACTCCTTAACCACCACTCCTTCTTTAGTGTCCCCAGTGGATGTGTACTCCTTAACCACCACTCCTTCTTTAGTGTCCCCAGTGGATGTGTACTCCTTAACCACCACTCCTTCTTTAGTGTCCCCAGTGGATGTGTACTCCTTAACCACCACTCCTTCTTTAGTGTCCCCAGTGGATGTGTACTCCTTAACCACCACTCCTTCTTTAGTGTCCCCAGTGGATGTGTACTCCTTAACCACCACTCCTTCTTTAGTGTCCCCAGTGGATGTGTACTCCTTAACCACCACTCCTTCTTTAGTGTTCCCAGTGGATGTGTACTCCTTAACCACCACTCCTTCTTTAGTGTTCCCAGTGGATGTGTACTCATTAACCACCACTCCTTCTTTAGTGTTCCCAGTGGATGTGTACTCCTTAACCACCACTCCTTCTTTAGTGTTCCCAGTGGATGTGTACTCATTAACCACCACTCCTTCTTTAGTGTCCCCAGTGGATGTGTACTCCTTAACCACCACTCCTTCTTTAGTGTCCCCAGTGGATGTGTACTCCTTAACCGCCACTCCTTCTTTAGTGTCCCCAGTGGATGTGTACTCCTTAACCACCACTCCTTCTTTAGTGTCCCCAGTGGATGTGTACTCCTTAACCACCACTCCTTCTTTAGTGTCCCCAGTGGATGTGTACTCCTTAACCACCACTCCTTCTTTAGTGTTCTCAGTGGATGTGTACTCCTTAACCACCACTCCTTCTTTAGTGTCCCCAGTGGATGTGTACTCCTTAACCACCACTCCTTCTTTAGTGTTCCCAGTGGATGTGTACTCCTTAACCACCACTCCTTCTTTAGTGTCCCCAGTGGATGTGTACTCCTTAAGCACCACTCCTTCTTTAGTGTCCCCAGTGGATGTGTACTCCTTAACCACCACTCCTTCTTTAGTGTCCCCAGTGGATGTGTACTCCTTAACCACCACTCCTTCTTTAGTGTCCCCAGTGGATGTGTACTCCTTAACCACCACTCCTTCTTTAGTGTCCCCAGTGGATGTGTACTCCTTAACCACCACTCCTTCTTTAGTGTCCCCAGTGGATGTGTACTCCTTAACCACCACTCCTTCTTTAGTGTTCCCAGTGGATGTGTACTCCTTAACCACCACTCCTTCTTTAGTGTTCCCAGTGGATGTGTACTCATTAACCACCACTCCTTCTTTAGTGTTCCCAGTGGATGTGTACTCCTTAACCACCACTCCTTCTTTAGTGTTCCCAGTGGATGTGTACTCATTAACCACCACTCCTTCTTTAGTGTCCCCAGTGGATGTGTACTCCTTAACCACCACTCCTTCTTTAGTGTCCCCAGTGGATGTGTACTCCTTAACCGCCACTCCTTCTTTAGTGTCCCCAGTGGATGTGTACTCCTTAACCACCACTCCTTCTTTAGTGTCCCCAGTGGATGTGTACTCCTTAACCACCACTCCTTCTTTAGTGTCCCCAGTGGATGTGTACTCCTTAACCACCACTCCTTCTTTAGTGTTCCCAGTGGATGTGTACTCCTTAACCACCACTCCTTCTTTAGTGTCCCCAGTGGATGTGTACTCCTTAACCACCACTCCTTCTTTAGTGTCCCCAGTGGATGTGTACTCCTTAACCACCACAACTGGAGAGTTACAGTACGGAAGTGAAGCTACCTTTACCTGTAGTGTTAGGGGAGGCAGAGCTCCTTACAAAGTTGAGATGAAGGTTAGTTAATATATTTAACTGTCAGTTTTATTACATGATCTGTATCTTGGTTCCTTTTCTCAAAAAACTGCAGAAGGAGAACGCTCTTCAGTAACCAGCACAACAGTCCTGTCATGTATATGTTCATATACGAATTTATATATCTATCATATTATGACCTCCTGATATCTTCAGTTTGGTAGTACTTTGGTATACGTGTTCAGCAACAATGACAATGAGCAGAGTCAGGGGGATGGAAAGTGTGTGGGAGATTACGTGAAGACTTGCTTCGGTAGGTTTTGAAATCTGGTTTAATATTATGTTTATTATAAAGTTATAAGCAGCCATGACAACCATGATGGTACGATTCAACGTTTTTAAATAAAATTATAATATATAAATTTGGCTAATTTTGGTAAACAGTTTTAATTGCAGTTTATTTTAATGATTTCAATGAATATTGTGTCTAGTCCAATGATTTAGATACATTTTATGTAAATTCCTAAATCAAATGGCCAATCGTTTTATTTCAGGTAAAGTTTCCAGCGTAAACTACAATCACGAGGGAGAACTGAGCTGTACAGGTTACAACGTGGCGGGTAACTTGACTACATTCTCAGATTCAGAGAGCCTCACAACCACTGTCTGTAAGTAATACTTTATATTACTTATAAATACTCGCGTCATAACACGTGCACGCGCGTCACAACACGTGCACAACACGTGCACATCACAATTCACAATACAAGTGCGCTTATGTAGAAAGTGAGTAATGACGTCATACTGCAAGTGAACGAATTGTCGAAATCTTTACCCGCAATTGAAAACTGAATAGTTCTTTGGATATAATGATTGTGGTGATAGTTTCAAATGGTGTGTAACTGTGTGAGATCTAGATCTTCTTAATAAGACTGAGATATTTGTAATCAAGTCTAAGCTTAATCTTATTGTGTGATAGTGGAAACACTCAACATCCACGCCACCATCATGTAACTATGACACCACTCAACCTACAAAATTCGACGAGGATGGGATTCGAACCCACGCGGGCATTGCCCAATGGATTAGCAGTCCATCGCCTTAACCACTCGGCCACCTCGTCCTCATTTAGAACCACATTTTCAATTTATTTTAAGCCGCCATCATGTAACCATGCCCCCATTAAGCCAACAAAATTCGACGAGGATGGGATTCGAACCCACGCGGGCATTGCCCAATGGATTAGCAGTCCATCGCCTTAACCACTCGGCCACCTCGTCCTCATTTAGAACCACATTTTCAATTTATTTTAAGCCGCCATCATGTAACCATGCCCCCATTAAGCCATCAAAATTCGACGAGGATGGGATTCGAACCCACGCGGGCATTGCCCAATGGATTAGCAGTCCATAGCCTTAACCACTCGGCCACCTCGTCCTCATTTAGAACCACATTTTCAATTTATTTTAAGCCGCCATCATGTAACCATGCCCCCATTAAGCCAACAAAATTCGACGAGGATGGGATTCGAACCCACGCGGGCATTGCCCAATGGATTAGCAGTCCATCGCCTTAACCACTCGGCCACCTCGTCCTCATTTAGAACCACATTTTCAGCCCGGTCTACCTTTGTGCAAGTATCTGGAGATTTCTTCCCCCTCAATAACGCTGACTTGATCCTGACTTGTACCCATTATGAGAGGCCACTTTCTTTCGACCACACTGATGTCACTTGGTATCAGGTATGTTGACTTACTCAGAAGAGTTCAGTAGTAGCAATTCTTTTGTCTAACAAGGGTTCGGGGATAATGAAATCTTTATTTCAATTAAATGATTTTTAAGCTCTTTAATTTTTGATGGAAAATGTAAATTTTAGTGCAGAATGTTTCTTCCTTTAAATCTTTATTTTATCGTTATAAGGATGGTAAAAGTATCGTGCCTGATAGCACTGTGTTTTCTGTAAAGAATGGTCTCGGAGTTTATCAAGTGAGTTGCTATTTATAAATGAAATTTATGCAACTTTAATTTAAAAGAGTAAATGATTGTCCAAATTAACTGATTGAGGTTGTAAAAAATACGGATTTTAGGGTAAAGTAGTAGCGGTATTCAAAGATGTAACAGCAACAACTGAAGGCTTATACAAATGCATCAGTGAGGGTGTGGAGTCTGCTGAAGTCAATGTTTATGTTGGTAGGTGGTATTAAGTAATTATATGACGTTTAATAAATTAAAGACTATCTTATTAATCATTTGGTTGATATAACTTAAGAGGAAAGACAGCGTACTGGATCCAACTAAACAGAGTAAAACAGAATTCAGTCAGAAAACTACATATTTTGTTGAAAGTAAATTGTAGTAATGTTCGATTTTTCAGCAAATGGTAAGTGGAAAGAGGATGGCAAAATCTCAAGAAACGGCTGCAGTTAAACTAAGCTGCATCATATTTATTAATTCTCATATTTACCATGATCAAACTTGATGTTTTATATATCTATCAAGGCAGCGGTCTGTACATCGTACAATGCACCTGGTTGTTCAAGTATACTCTCTATCATTGTTAATATCTCGTTATCTCTCCCAGGAGAAGGGTTCGCTCCCTCATCCCCCCTGATGACGGTCCCAGACGGCCAGGTTGGGGTCCCAATGGATATGATGTGTGTTTCAGAGGGCTACCCTCCACCTACTATTGAGTGGATTATTTACACTAATCAGACGGTCGGGAATGTTACTGAAGTTGTGAAGGTACAACAAAGTTGTACATTTTATGCACATTTTATACAATAATAATAAAAGTCTCTGCAAGAAAAGCTATTTAGGATAATTTTTGCATACCAGTCATACTGCAGTTGAACTGATAGTTGAACTGATAGTTGAACTGATAGTTGAACTGATAGTTGAACTGATAGTTGAACTGATAGTTGAACTGATAGTTGAACTGATAGTTGAACTGATAGTTGAACTGATAGTTGAACTGATAGTTGAACTGATAGTTGAACTGATAGTTGAACTGATAGTTGAACTGATAGTTGAACTGATAGTTGAACTGCTAGTTAACAGGGCTCTTTTTCTATTCGTACATGGAAAGGTGGATGTCACTAAATCTATTTAAAGAATATTTCTTCTTAGCAATAGCAACTTTAGTAGAGCCACCATTTAATTAATGACCACATAATTTATTAAAACTTGCTTATAAAATTAATTATTTAGGAGAAAACCAAAACTACTTCCAAAATAAACTGGATACCAAAGTATGAGGCATCCATGAAGATCTTTTGTAAAGCTACAAACGTGAACGGAACAACAACATCAAACACTGTCCTGAGGGTTCTAATGGCTGGTTAGTGATTAACTTTATGTAGCGTGTGCTATATGGTTATTATGGTAACCATGGCAACCATACTATTATGGTTTCTTGGATACTGAAACTAATCTTGAATTTTATAATTTGACTTATTATTTTTGATGAAATGCCAAATATTACAGCTGGTTTGAAGTACAAATCGAAAGTTTTAAATAATTACATTTCCAACACTGTTCAGCGGCAGTGAAAGGCAAGAAAGATTCAGAACAGGCAGCTATCATAGCTGCTAGTGTGATTGGAGGTATAATCTTGCTGATGTGTATCTTCTTCCTGGTGGTGGGCATCTGCAAACATAGAAGAGCCACTAAACACGGTGAGACTTATGCAGTTATATACGCTAATCTAACTGCGTTTATAATATTTTAGAGTCAATCTGATCGTACACTGTTGAACCCCAGGTTACTGATTTAAATCAATATTTAAACAAGTTCCTCATAGTAGTAGAACAGCTGTTGAGAGGGCTCTAAAAAAGCAGTGCAATTAGATTTGTAATCGCATTTTTTGAAACAAAACCAGTGCGATTATGAAAATAATAAGTGGCTGTCAAATAGGTCAAAAGTGGAGTTATATACCTAATGAGTTAATGCGAACAAGGATTAACAGTTTTAATTTAAAACTTGGGCTTGATACAAGTTGTTCTACTAGTTACCATATTTACACTACTAGCAACACTACTAGTTACACTACTAGTTACCATAGTTACACTCCAGATTTACATTTTGACTATTTCAGATCAATCAGCTGACAGCACTGTTATTGAGTAAGTATATAGTATAGACTAGAATTTGTATAAATTTATATATCTGGACAACAGTTTCCACAATCAAATGATTTGTTCGGATCAGGCGAAGAATCATCTTAGATGTAGTAAGATGCAGTAACTGTGGTTACTATGGTTACTAAACACTAGGAGTATTATAGAGTTATAGCAAAAGTATTGCCGTCATCAAACATCAATCATTTCCTGATAAAAATACAATTTCTGAACTCGAAAAAGCGTTAGCAGCATTTAAGAACGTCTTTATGAGTTTATGCTATACGACGACGTTACCACTGAGTTAGATATCCAATTGGCAAATTGACTGTAAACATCGAATATAAATATTCTGATCCTCGATAACTATAGTTACACTACTGTAAGTGTAACTATAGTTATCATGTTTCATGTTTAATTCATGTTTAATTCCTGTTTAATCCCTGTTTAATTCCTATTTAATTCCTGTTTAATTCCTACTGGTTACCATAATAACCTGAAACTCAAGCCTCCCCACTTTCAGAAATGGTCCGTCTAAACTAGAACGGAACTGTCTCGTGTCGTGTATAGCGTGTTGTCCTTGTTGTTTCAGATCAGAATCTTCAGAAGCGGGGGATCTAGAAGATGACAAGCCGGAAGGAAAATGGAAGTTCCCAGCCCTCCCCCGGTTCTACTTCAAGTCTAAGAAAGTAGACGGTACACCAGATGATGGAGGGAAAGAGAAGAAGGGGCCGTTTGGGCGTTGGTCTATGGTGGATATTACCAGGATGTCGAAAAGGGAGAAAATTGATGATTCTCCAAGCCCCGTCAGAAAGTCAGCTGGAGCTGAAACTAAAAGGTCTGATTCAAAGGAAAGTGATGTCCCCCCGACTGAGACCGATGACTCTGAAGCTGTTGATATCCCCGGACGATTGAAAGCTCCTGCTGTGATCCGATCTGTGTCTCACAATCCTGCTCGTGAGAACACTTCAGATGAAGAGAAGAGGAGGAGGAACAGTGCTGAGGATATACCCCTGGCAATGAGAATTAGTAATTTCTTTCAGCTGAGAAAAGATGGTCCCACTTTTGTTACGTTTAATGAGGATACGAAACAGTATGAGCGCACTTTAACCAGGACCGGGAAATCCGTTTGAAAAACATGGAACTTATAAAAGATTTAACTGTTTCGTTAAATAAACATTCTCGTGAAGAGAACAAAAACTACAATGAGTTTAGAAACTGAAAAAATTTTTTCACAGTTTATTGGAAATAAAATTGTGTGAGTGATACGTACAACATACAATGGAGGAAATTACTAAGCAGCACTTTGACTGCTTAAAGTGACAATCGATAAAACTAATTTTGTTGCTCAGCAGCGATTTGGAAAAACTTATACATATATATTTTACAATGGAAATTGTTATTCATTTAATCTATTTACTTATTTCTTTGATATTTATTTTGATTGACATTTGCTGCATCCATTTCATACAGTAAAATAAGAAAGCCTGTGTTTTAAGGGTATCAAGAAATTAACTCCTATATATAAGATCAAAATCATGAGTACTATAAATGTTAAATCGGTTCCATGCAATTGTGTGAGCAGGGCATAAATTCGTTGTAATACCAGAAATATATAAATATATATATAAATATACTGATTAATCATTCAAAAAATGTATATTTTGCAACACGAACTGCACACATTTTTGATTTGGTGAGAATCAGTGATTTTGGTCAGAACAGAATCCCAAACAGCTAATTCTTTCAGAAACAAAGACGCTGCGGCAGATAAGGTTTGTAATTTCAACACTCTTAATTGCTTATAATTTAGTAGATGAACTTTTTGCCCCAAGTGTTCCCCAGGAAATTCAATTTTGTGCCCCAGGTGTGCCCCAAGTGTGCCTAGCTAGATTATCAAATTACCTCTATATGAAATGTTTAAATGCATTGCTTATTTAGTTCTAATCAGATAATAATAATGTTAAATTCAGTTCTACCGATACTGAACTAATGTTATATATTACACCCTACTCCTTTATAAATATTGTTTATAAACTATTCATTTCAAATTACACGCAGGAGAACCCTTATGCGTCTGTATTTACTCTACAGAAGTATAACTTTAAAGGTAATCTGAAACTGAAAAATCCCTTTACTCTTCCTCGGTCTGAACCAGAACAGGTATAATAATAGAATAATTAACAAATACCTGGTAAATACCCGGTAAATACCTGGTAAATGCCCGGTAAATACCTGATAAATACCTGGCAAATACCTGGTAAATATCTGGTGAATACCTGGTAATATATGTTACCCGTTAACCGTTAACTTTATGACTTCATTTCTAGATCTAACTATTATTAACACTTTAATCAGACTACGAGGAGATCTACTCTGATATTAAATAGTTTGCAAACATATTTAACATATATGCACATATATGCACATATAAGCATATATGCACATATTTAAGCACAATTTCTAAACCAGGAAGATAAGCCGGACAAGTCACAGTACGCAGAAATAATTGGCGAGGTTAAGAACAAGGAAAACATTGATCAGGACCTTGACTACGACGAAAAAAGAAGTTCTGACGAAATTATCATAAGTAATTACCTACTTATTTTACCAATCTTTAGGGGACAATTTTCACAAAGACCAAAACTAAGCTTCAGCTTATTTTATAAAATAATAAATGCGACCATAGTTAATAAATCTTAAATCAACTTAGAATACAAATTAAGCTGAATTGTTAATTTCCTCAGATCCTACCATTGTGGGTCCAGCTTCAGAGAAGACTATTTCCGTTAGTTCCAGTGGCACCGGGTCCCTGGTCGAAAGTAAACACGACGATGACAAAGTGTAGAATTGTATATTTCGATTAAAATGGTTTCCAGTTCGCTGGTTGTATCGACTTATAGCCGATGCTGAAGTGATGTTATATATTTAACCCTACTCCTTTACAAATATTGTTTATAAATTGGTGGACTTTCATGGATGATAGATATTTAGTTAAAAACGTGCGTCAAATTTTTTAGTTTAGCGTTTATCTGGTGGTATAATTAGGAAGTATACAAATTTAGATTATTAGGCAAAACAATTATAAACTGAAAGTAGAAATATTTTTTACTTTTAGTTGGGTTAGTGATGGGATTAGTGATTTGTAATTTCAGAATATTTTTATAAAACGTTTGTAATTGAGTAGAGAGGGAGTTTTATTCTGTCATGATTAAAATTTAGTAAATTTAGTGAGGATTAACTCTAAAATAAATAAGGATAAATTCTAAAATAAATAATAAAACACAAGCTCTTATATTGATAAAGTTACACAGCACACAAAAACCATAAAGGGCCACAACAAATACAAACATATATATTAATGTAAATATAAAATAAGTCATAACAGTTAGTCTCAATAACGCTCAGAGCCTGGCCACGTATGGGCACGTGTTCGTTTGGGTTTCATACCATCACTGATCCCAAATACTACTGTAAAAATCTCTTTGTTCCTAAAACAATAAATCAGAGAGTTGGAGATTGGCCAGAAAGCAATAGCAATGTTAGAAGCTATAGAGAGTTGCACAGGTACACCTATCTGGAGTAGGTCTAACACGCTGGCGCAGAATCTTGGAGAGTAGCCAACTACAGCTGCTATGAATATCAGCGCTATTGTCAGGGAGCACTTCAACTTTGCCATTTTAGTGAGCTGTCCTGATACGTCTGAGGTTAGTGAGGTTAGTGAGGTTAGTGAGGTTAGTGAGGTTAGTGAGGTTAGTGAGGTTAGTGAGGTTAATGAGGTTAGTGAGGTTAGTCAGGTTAGTGAGGTAAGTGAGCTGTCCTGCTACGTCTGAGGTTAGTGAGGTTAGTGAGGTTAGTGAGGTTAGTGAGGTTAGTGAGGTTAGTGAGGTTAGTGAGGATAGTCAGGTTAGTCAGGTTAGTGGAATTATTGAGGTTAGTGAGGTTAGTGAGGTTAGTGAGGTTAGTGAGGTTAGTGAAGTTAGTGAGGATAGTCAGGTTAGTGAGGTTAGTGAGGTTAGTGAGGTTAGTGAGGTTAGTGAGGTAAGTGAGGTTAATGAGGTTAGTGAGGTTAGTGAGGTTAGTGGAATTATTGAGGTTAGTGAGGTGAATGAGGTTAGTGAGGTTAGTGAGGTTAGTGAGGTTAGTGAGATTAGTGAGCTCTCCTGACTCTTGATACATCTGAGGATGTGAAGTTGTAAAATAAACTTGTAAATATACAATTAAACAAAAAAATGTCCAATAAAACAATAATTCATAAAAGTATAATGCTAGTTTGATTTTGAAAGGACAGGTAACAAACGGGCAACTTGTGCGTTCCTGAAAACTTTGGCACTCAAGTTACCAATAAAAACACACCATATCTGTAAGAACATTGATCAAAAGAAATTGTTGCAACATTATACTATTATAGGTTGGTTCTTTACCGATTGTTGAAACTCGACATGTAGCGTCATTTAGCGTCAGATGACGCTAGATGCCGCTACATGTCGAGTTTCAACTATCAGTAAAGAACCCATGGGTTTAGTTCAATCTTAGATATGTAAGATTTGACTAGGATGTTATAGTGGTAGTAGTAAACACTGATTAAGATACTCACGAGATAAAGCACCCTTCCTCAAATCGTTTAGTGAAGCCACAAATCCAGAGATTGAGCTTTTTCTAGAATCGTGACTTGTTACACTCGGCCTCCTGTCTGATCCCTGGAATTTCAGTTATTAATTAATTAATTAATTATAATAATCGGTTATTACTTATTGATAACTTCAAAAAAATTGAAAAAACGTCAAGATAAGAAAATTCAAAATATTGATATCAATTTAGGGATATGGACTGATTTTGTGTGACTAAGAAATAACCCGGTTACCATAGTAACACAACTAACCCTGCTATTTATCGGAGAAATATTTATCTGAAACTTTACATGTTGTTAATAGTTGTATCATGTTGTGATGTATTGTATTTATATAATGTAGTGATTTATATTTATTTACGTCACATATCTGTACCTGATATGAGACAGAGTTAGAGAGACTGTCCCTGTAGACAGAATAGTTTACCGGGTCCGTCATTCTTCTCCTCTCTTTCTTTTTAGCTTTCCTTTGATTTACCTCTGTGATCCGCCGCTGTCGCTTTGGAGTTATCGCAGTTCTTCCGCAGCGCTCTATCAAGATATTGAAATAAGATTAGGATTACTGAGGGGCACTGTGTAGGTAACCAGGTAACCAGGTAACCAGGTAACCAGGTAACCAGGTAACCAGGTAACCAGGTAACCAGGTAACCAGGTAACCAGGTAACCAGGTAACCAGGTAACCAGGTAACCAGGTAACCAGGTAACCAGGTAACCAGGTAACCAGGTAACCAGGTAACCAGGTAACCAGGTAACCAGGTAACCAGGTAACCAGGTAACCAGGTAACCAGGTAACCAGGTAACCAGGTAACAATGTAACCAGGTAACCAGGTAACCAGGTAACCAGGTAACCAGGTAACCAGGTAACCAGGTAACCAGGTAACCAGGTAACCAGGTAACCAGGTAACCAGGTAACCAGGTAACAATGTAACCAGGTAACCAGGTAACCAGGTAACCAGGTAACCAGGTAACCAGGTAACCAGGTAACCAGGTAACCAGGTAACCAGGTAACCAGGTAACCAGGTAACCAGGTAACCAGGTAACCAGGTAACCAGGTAACCAGGTAACCAGGTAACCAGGTAACCAGGTAACCAGGTAACCAGGTAACCTTCCGCAGTAGTCTATCAAGATATCGAAATAAGATTATGATTACTGAGGGGCACTGTGTAGGTAACCAGGTAACCAGGTAACCAGGTAACCAGGTAACCTTCCGCAGCGCTCTATCAAGATATTGAAATAAGATTAGGATTAAGATGATAATTAAGTGGGTCCCAATCCCCACCGACCATTCTTCTTTGTTTTATGCCCATGTTATACTTGCTTCATCATCTCCTTTTTATAACAACCACGGTATCTTTATTGACTAAGCGCATGTTGTAAATGTGTTGAGAAAATTTACATTTCGGTTTTTTTTGTTAGTCAGAATATGAAACGAGCTTAAACAGATAGAAGATAATAGCGTTATCTAGAGCTTCATTTCATAACAAAAATGAGGGCTTTATAGCGTGTATAACACCTAGAGCTTCATTGAAAAACTAACAGCGGGATCCGGGATTATCAGAATCTATCCCGCTGGCTGGCTTATTATTCAGAGGTGTGTATAATACCTAGAGCTTCATTGGAGCTGTTAAGGTCTATAAACGGTGCCTGCTTGACATTGTCCTCCGTGAAAACGTTGATTTCAATCTTGGTCACGTGTCTTGGAACCCTGAAATACAATGTTTTACCATTGACAAATCAGTGAGGTAACCAGGGCAACCAGGGTAACTAGGGTAACCAGGGTAATCAGTGAGGTCGGGAGAGTGACACAAGTCGCCATCGAAGTACTGGACGCAGTATATCCGGAGAAAACTTTGATGTAATGAAAATTTTGAATATGTCCTACCGGTAGAAATATTTGAATTTCAGCTTTCCGCGACTCAAATTTCACTGAATTATGACTGAATGTTTTTGAATGACCATCTTACAAGGTCACTGAGGATGGCACAAGACTCAATTGAGGTACTCAAAGTTCTATTCCCAAAGAAAGCTTTGATAAACGGAAAATCATGAGAATATAAAAAGAGGTTGACTCTTACATTTGTTCAGCTGAAGAAGGTAGCTCGTAGGATACCTTTAACGTTGTGTTCTCAATCTCTAGCTTCTTCACAGTGAGCTGAGATCCTTTGAAAGGTAGTTCCAAGCAATTAGCCACCTCCTGCAACATTGTTCATTATATAATATTATATTATATATAATTGTTCATAAGTTAGTTTATGATATTGCCAAAAAGTTAAAAAACAAAAGTACCAAAGATACTAAAATCAGTGCACTCAAACTAGCATCTGAAGATGTTAAATTTGTTAATGCACTTACTGGAACAATCTCACAGTCGCTAGAAGAGGGAGTGTTCCCACAGGCACTTAAAGTTGCTTGAGTTGTTCCTATATACAAAAACGGCTCAAAAACAGCAGTCTCTAATTATCGCCCCATCTCATTACTGGCAGCTTTTTCCAAAATTTACGAAAAAGTTATGCATGCCAGACTTGTAGAATTCTTGAATCAAAATTCAAGTTTATATGAACGACAGTATGGATTTAGGGCAGGTAGATCTTGTGAACATGCACTTTTGGATGCGCAACATACCCTCATCAGCTCATTACATAAAAAGCAAATTTCTCTTCTCCTCCTCATAGATTTTTCAAAGGCTTTTGACATGGTAGATCACAAGATACTTCTACACAAGCTTAATCATTACGGTATAAGAGGCATCGCTAATAAATGGTTTAAGTCATACCTTACGAATAGAAAACAATATGTTTATGGAGTACCACAAGGTAGCATCCTAGGTCCTCTACTCTTTGTCCTATACATTAATGACTTACCTGGCATAAGCACACTAGCAAAGTTTATCTTATACGCAGATGATGCCAACATTATTATATCAGGTAACAACATATATGAGATTAAAGATCAATTGAACCTGCTGTCCCAATCTTTGGTAAAATGGGTTGATGTCAATAGATTACTTATTAATCTCAAAAAACAAATTATATGATATTTTCCCGACAGAAGATACCTAATCTCTCCCCAGTTATCATAAACAACGTAAATATCTTGCGCTTGAACGAAGCTAAGTTCTAAGGTGTGATTCTTGATGAAAAATTAACTTGGTCATCTCACATAAAAGCTCTCAAGTGTAAAATGGCCCGATATGTTGGCATATTGTACAAAATCAAATCATACATTCCCTTAGAAGTTAGAATTCAAATCTACCACAGTTTTATTGAATCACACCTAAACTACTGTTCCTTGCTCTGGGGTTTCACGTCCAAGACCAAAATTGAGTGTTTATTCCGTCAACAAAAGAAAGGTATCAGAGCCGTTATGCCAGGATTCGTGAATCATTTTTATAAAGATGGGATACCTCCTACTGGTACCAAATCCTTTTTCAGCAACTACTCGATCCTAACCATACACAGCATAATTTTATCTAATTCACTAATTTTCATGAATAAAATTTTCTATTTCCCTAATCAGCTCCCTCCTCCCGTAGCAAAAACTATTCACGAAAATGTGCCGACTCGTAACTCGGACGTTATCACTGAAGCTATAGCTATGATCGGTTCAATGACTACAATACTGCCACATATAGAAATTCAATATTCTTTAACGGCCCACTCCTTTTTGTAGACGCATCGATAGACGAAGCATTCAATTCAGTGTCATGCCAATCGCTGAAGGCGTTCAAATCACAATGTAAGAAAACAATACTGAAGCTGCAGAGGGGGGATGATTGTGTGAATGAGTGGTCCACGAGTAAATTTCTCATCCACGAAATCAGTGGCCTCCGTAGGTCCACAAGAAACAGAAATTCCTAACTGTTTTTGCTGCTAATTGGGGCTAAATCCAACGTCCAGAATTAAGTTTAAATTTGTTTTCTATCACTTTTATACCAAACCAAATGAATGTTATGTTTATAATCTGTAAATCTTTAAAGAGAATCTGTTTGTCGTACAGTGAAATAAATTTTGAAATTTTGCTTGACGTATTTTCCATTATTTGCAGTTTGTTGCAATTTTATCATTACATTTGTAACGTCTACATAATGTAAATTAAAGAATTAAGATGAAAAGTTGGGTATGGTAACCGGGTTACCATAGTAACACTACTAACCCTCATTCTTTAGTAGGTAGTGTTACTATGGTAACCGTGTTACCATAGTAACACTACTAACCCTCCTTCTTTAGTAGGTAGTGTTACTATGGTAACCGTGTTACCACAGGGACAAAAGGATTTCGCGGCATGTACGAAATCGCGAAATTTCCCATTCTCCGCGACAAATTTTATGTATAGTTTAATGTATAGCCTGTTAAATTTCGCGGTACCGCGATTTTTGGCCAAAATAATCGCGAAATCCTTTTGTCACTGTGTTACCATAGTAACACTACTAACCCTCCTTCTTTAGTAGGTAGTGTTACTATGGTAACCGTGTTACCATAGTAACACGACCAACCCTCTTTCTTTAGTAGGTAGTGTTACTATGGTAACCGTGTTACCATAGTAACTCTACTAACCCTCCTTCTTTAGTAGGTAGTGTTACTATGGTAACCGTGTTACCGTAGTAACACTACTAACCCTCCTTCTTTAGTAGGTAGTGTTACTATGGTAACCGTGTTACCATAGTAACACTACTAACCCTCCTTCTTTAGTAGGTAGTGTTACTATGGTAACTGTGTTACCATAGTAACACTACTAACCCTCCTTCTTTAGTAGGTAGTGTTACTATGGTAACCGTGTTACCATAGTAACACGACCAACCCTCTTTCTTTAGTAGGTAGTGTTACTATGGTAACTGTGTTACCATAGTAACGCTACTAACCCTCCTTCTTTAGTAAGTAGTGTTACTATGGTAACTGTGTTACCATAGTAACACGACTAACCCTCCTTCTTTAGTAGGTAGTGTTACTATGGTAACCGTGTTACCATAGTAACACTACTAACCCTCCTTCTTTAGTAGGTAGTGTTACTATGGTAACCGTGTTACCATAGTAACACGACCAACCCTCTTTCTTTAGTAGGTAGTGTTACTATGGTAACTGTGTTACCATAGTAACGCTACTAACCCTCCTTCTTTAGTAAGTAGTGTTACTATGGTAACTGTGTTACCATAGTAACACGACTAACCCTCCTTCTTTAGTAGGTAGTGTTACTATGGTAACCGTGTTACCATAGTAACACTACTAACCCTCCTTCTTTAGTAGGTAGCGTTACTATGGTAACCAGGTTACCTACCGTAGTAACGCTACTAACCCTCCTTCTTTACTTACACTCGCAGCTGCCTCCCCGTTGAGGACTTGTTCAATGCTGTGTTGCAATCTTTGTGTACTCACATCTCCTGGCCTATTCACCGGCTGAAATCATACTATTCTTTATCATAAGCACAAATTGGTATTTTAAAGTTTTTAAACCGAGTAAACATTCCAAATATGCGTTTTATGTCCCACGTAGCTAACATTTCTATATTCTATACTGATAATCTTAAGATATGTGTTTGTTCGTTCGCATGTAATTACCGAGCGTCTTAATCAAGGAAACGGTTAGAGTTATGGGACTGGTTTTTTCGGTATAATAAATAATTTCGACAAAACTTTGACGAACCTAAATGATAAAGGATTTTTAAATCGGTAAGAGCAGTTCTCCCCCATAACAGATTTGCTATAATATCACAATAAGGTAATTTGGCAGTGTACCTCAAGATTGCCTATCAAGTATCACTATTTCGCATCGTTTTAAAGTTTTAACTACAAATATGTAATGCGTGCTTTCGAATATAATGAACGAACCTTCATCTTATTATATGTGCATATATAATATATATATTATATATGTACATATAATATATATATTACAATAAGCGTAACAAAGTAAACGATGTTATTGTCCAACTAAAAGTTACATGTTAAAACGAAAATCGTCCTGGATTAGTTAGTTGAGCACTTTGCTGAAAGGAGAAACAAACATGTTTGTATATATTACAGTATGTATATTACTCCTACCAAATCATTGTCAGACATGTGTCCAGTTTCCTTCTCTTCTTTAGTAGGTAGTGTTGCTATGGTAGTAGGTAGTGTTGCTATGGTAGTAGGTAGTGTTGCTATGGTAGTAGGTAGTGTTGCTATGGTAGTAGGTAGTGTTGCTATGGTAGTAGGTAGTGTTGCTATGGTAGTAGGTAGTGTTGCTATGGTAGTAGGTAGTGGTGCTATGGTAGTAGGTAGTGTTGCTATGGTAGTAGGTAGTGTTGCTATGGTAGTAGGTAGTGTTGCTATGGTAGTAGGTAGTGTTGCTATGGTAGTAGGTAGTGTTGCTATGGTAGTAGGTAGTGTTGCTATGGTAGTAGGTAGTGGTGCTATGGTAGTAGGTAGTGTTGCTATGGTAGTAGGTAGTGTTGCTATGGTAGTAGGTAGTGTTGCTATGGTAGTAGGTAGTGTTGCTATGGTAGTAGGTAGTGTTGCTATGGTAGTAGGTAGTGTTGCTATGGTAGTAGGTAGTGTTGCTATGGTAGTAGGTAGTGTTGCTATGGTAGTAGGTAGTGTTGCTATGGTAGTAGGTAGTGTTGCTATGGTAGTAGGTAGTGTTGCTATGGTAGTAGGTAGTGTTGCTATGGTAGTAGGTAGTGCTGCTATGGTAGTAGGTAGTGTTGCTATGGTAGTAGGTAGTGTTGCTATGGTAGTAGGTAGTGTTGCTATGGTAGTAGGTAGTGTTGCTATGGTAGTAGGTAGTGTTGCTATGGTAGTAGGTAGTGTTGCTATGGTAGTAGGTAGTGTTGCTATGGTAGTAGGTAGTGTTGCTATGGTAGTAGGTAGTGTTGCTATGGTAGTAGGTAGTGTTGCTATGGTAGTAGGTAGTGTTGCTATGGTAGTAGGTAGTGTTGCTATGGTAGTAGGTAGTGTTGCTATGGTAGTAGGTAGTGTTGCTATGGTAGTAGGTAGTGTTGCTATGGTAGTAGGTAGTGTTGCTATGGTAGTAGGTAGTGCTGCTATGGTAGTAGGTAGTGTTGCTATGGTAGTAGGTAGTGTTGCTATGGTAGTAGGTAGTGTTGCTATGGTAGTAGGTAGTGTTGCTATGGTAGTAGGTAGTGTTGCTATGGTAGTAGGTAGTGTTGCTATGGTAGTAGGTAGTGTTGCTATGGTAGTAGGTAGTGTTGCTATGGTAGTAGGTAGTGTTGCTATGGTAGTAGGTAGTGTTGCTATGGTAGTAGGTAGTGTTGCTATGGTAGTAGGTAGTGTTGCTATGGTAGTAGGTAGTGTTGCTATGGTAGTAGGTAGTGTTGCTATGGTAGTAGGTAGTGTTGCTATGGTAGTAGGTAGTGTTGCTATGGTAGTAGGTAGTGTTGCTATGGTAGTAGGTAGTGTTGCTATGGTAGTAGGTAGTGTTGCTATGGTAGTAGGTAGTGTTGCTATGGTAGTAGGTAGTGTTGCTATGGTAGTAGGTAGTGTTGCTATGGTAGTAGGTAGTGTTGCTATGGTAGTAGGTAGTGTTGCTATGGTAGTAGGTAGTGTTGCTATGGTAGTAGGTAGTGTTGCTATGGTAGTAGGTAGTGTTGCTATGGTAGTAGGTAGTGTTGCTATGGTAGTAGGTAGTGTTGCTATGGTAGTAGGTAGTGTTGCTATGGTAGTAGGTAGTGTTGCTATGGTAGTAGGTAGTGTTGCTATGGTAGTAGGTAGTGTTGCTATGGTAGTAGGTAGTGTTGCTATGGTAGTAGGTAGTGTTGCTATGGTAGTAGGTAGTGTTGCTATGGTAGTAGGTAGTGTTGCTATGGTAGTAGGTAGTGTTGCTATGGTAGTAGGTAGTGTTGCTATGGTAGTAGGTAGTGTTGCTATAGTAGTAGGTAGTGTTGCTATGGTAGTAGGTAGTGTTGCTATGGTAGTAGGTAGTGTTGCTATGGTAGTAGGTAGTGTTGCTATGGTAGTAGGTAGTGTTGCTATGGTAGTAGGTAGTGTTGCTATGGTAGTAGGTAGTGTTGCTATGGTAGTAGGTAGTGTTGCTATGGTAGTAGGTAGTGTTGCTATGGTAGTAGGTAGTGTTGCTATGGTAGTAGGTAGTGTTGCTATGGTAGTAGGTAGTGTTGCTATGGTAGTAGGTAGTGTTGCTATGGTAGTAGGTAGTGTTGCTATGGTAGTAGGTAGTGTTGCTATGGTAGTAGGTAGTGTTGCTATGGTAGTAGGTAGTGTTGCTATGGTAGTAGGTAGTGTTGCTATGGTAGTAGGTAGTGTTGCTATGGTAGTAGGTAGTGTTGCTATGGTAGTAGGTAGTGTTGCTATGGTAGTAGGTAGTGTTGCTATGGTAGTAGGTAGTGTTGCTATGGTAGTAGGTAGTGTTGCTATGGTAGTAGGTAGTGTTGCATTGCTATGGTA